CCCCAAAACCCCAAAACCCCAAAACCCCAAAACCCCAAAATAAACAGGATTTATTAAACATGGCAGAAAATACAGTTCTTCGCCCTAAGACCATTCTCAGCAAGGTTAGGGCTGAAATGGCCAAGCCATCATTCATGTTTAGAGAGAAGGGCAGAAATAATCACCTAAAAGTCATAGACGTCACGGTACCATCTTTCCATCTTACGGTTAGAAAAAAGTTAATTGTACCAGCATTAGCGTCAAGCTTGCCTTGAAGAGTAAGTTTCTGTCTCATGTTTGAGAAGGCATCCAAGAAAAGTACAGAAATAAACCTATGAAGTTATAACTCTGAGTTCCTCTCAAAAGCCAAAAGTGAGTAATTTCTTAATAATAAATTAGCCTAAATAGCAGTATTTTCTTGCATCCAAACAAAAATGCAGGCCATTCAGGTAATCCCTAGATTAAGAAGCAATAGGTACCAGTGCTCAGCCCTCTAAAATGACCCCACAGGTAGTAAGGAGGAGGTCAAACAGGAGCTGATTTATGAGCTCTTCCCTTATACGGATATATTCGATGAAGAGACACTCAAGTTCAGCATTGAGTCCAAAGAAGAGCCAGGAGTGAAAACCAGTCTCTAAGCGGAAGAACTCTGCTAACCTTCAAAATTCCTCGGAGTGACCAGTCCAGATCTCTCCATTAGTTAAAATTATGATGAAATAACACTCAGAAGGAAAGACCAGCACATCTTCTAAAGAGGTAATATTCTAGCTTAACTTCAGTGTTGATAACCCAAATGTTGGGGGAATTTCACAGCTTGATCTAAGAGGCCAACACAGCACTCACAAGGCAATTGTTCCAGTGGTCAGTATCAAATAAGAGAGCTTCTAAAGCTATTTCTAGTTGTCAGATTGATGATAATGTTTCAAATAACCGATCAAAACAGCTTTTAAATAAATTCAAAAATACTAAAGAGGTAAATTGGCTTGATTTTGTGCAGAAATTATACATTTGTTCACTAAAGCTAGTTTGTCATTTAGAGCCTGGCTAAGAGTTATGCAAGAAGAGCTTCGAGAATTAGGCAATCAAATCCTTACTCTAAAGATATGAAAAGTCTGAACGAACAGTCTAGAAACCAAAAGAACAGGGTTACTAGAACCCTCTTTAATAACGCACTTTTGCAGTCGATTAGGACTCCTATAGTTTGCAAGTTTGAAAATTTTGACCATATCTTCTACCAAGGTGCCAAAAATGCAACAAAATTGAAGAAGTCAGGAGCTGTAAAGAGAAGAATTTTCCTTCATAAATAAAATTTCAGAGGTTTATTCCTTACGCAGGTACTAAGCATGGGTTGGGCTCTTTTAGTCATCATTTTCATTTAACATATGTAGCATTTAGATATCCCGACATAACTCATTTTGCATTATTAGTAAAGCTTTTAGAAAACGAAATTGTATATAATAAGACAGATCCCCAAATTATAGAACTACCTCTAGAAATATGCTCTATGTCCTCCCTAACCAAAATAGACGAAATTGGGCATAAAAACTAGTCTATTGCTTATACGTATGAACAAGAGATTTCTCTCTTCTCTAGAGTCATCACTTCCTGTATATGTCCTCTCATTGGAGCTTATATTAGCCTGAATATCCTTTCAACATAGTTGATACAACTCGGGGTTTTGGGGTTTTGGGGTTTTGGGGTTTTGGGGTTTTGGGG